TCCAAGGCTACCTTAATGCAGGAGATTCAAGGTCACCTTTACGCACGCTTCCACGCCAGACCTTGACTAGGGGGATTTTTTTTTTTTTTTTCAAGGCTCAAAGTACAGGGATTATGTTTTTGCTTCAAGGCTCAAAGTACACAGAGGGTGCCCGGAGCTGCAGGTAAAAGTCTGGGGTTCGTTCTCTGGGCAGCTTTGTCAAGCACACACCTAATGGGGTATAGAGGGAGTTCGCAGCCTAATTCCAACTGAGCCCCTCAAATGAACTGAAGGGAGCTCGGGGAGCGCGAGTTCGGAGCCCCGGCTTCAGGAAGAGAGTGAGCTGGGCTGGAGAACTGCTCCCAAGACAGTGCGAGGCTGATCAATGCAGACGGACAGGCGAAGGGCTTTAACTCACCCTCTGCAAGATCCTGGGCGCGGGACCTTATCCCCTGGCCTTGGGGTCCTGCTTCCGAATGCTCAATGTGGGGGGCACCCAGGTCAATTTGTTGACTGGGTGGGTTTATGAATATCAGTATCTCCACCGCCCCCCCCCCCATCGTTGATGGGATAAAGAAAAATCGGGAAAAGTGAAGGAAAAAAATAAACAGAATAGGTAACAGACGGATGAGCAGAGTGGAGGGAAGGGAAGATGGTTCGGGGGGAAGGTTCGGCTTTCCAAAGCCGCCTTGATTCTTCCTTCTGGGTCTTCAGTTCCTGTCATTTTGAAGTACAGACAGTCCCCCACTTAACAATAGTTTGACACGCAATTGTTTGACTTCACCATGGTGCGAAGGTGACACACACTCAGTACGAACGGTACTTTGAGTTGTGAATGTTGATCTTTTCCCAGGCTAGGGATATGCCGGAGGTGCCCATCTCACCATGCAGCTCCGCCAGCCACGGTCAGGAGGGTAGACAGCCAGCAATCCACCGCACCCATCTCCAGCCGGGGTGCCATGGGGATTTCAAAAGGTGCAATACCTATTTAGTCAGGAGCACGCACCTCTCTTCCTGTAGATTTGCAAAGGAAAAAAATGACAACACAACAGCCATCCGGTGTGAATGAGTCAGAGTCATACCTATTTTTTTGTCAGATCGGCAAAAAATATATAATTCTTGGTGTGTCGCAGAATTTTAGTTATTAGTTTATGTGTGCCATGAGATGACAAAGGTTGAAAATCGCCGCTCTACAGTGTGCTGCGTTGCCAGCGTATTTTGAATCCTGTATTCTGTGCACGGCTAAGGTAGACTAGGCTAAGCTATGATGTCCAGTGGGGTAGGTGTATTAAGTGCTTTTTAATGATATCTCCAACTTGCTTTCAGACGGCTCAGAAAAACAAAAGCTTGGAAAGATAAAGCAGAGGTTGCAAATTGATAACCAGTGATTGGTAGATGTAGGTAAAGTGAACATAGGTAGTCATTGAACTGGTTTCTAAATTTTTCTGTACGTTTAAACTTTTCAAAAGTTGTGTATGTGCACGGGGGGGGGTGTGTGTGTGGGGTGGTGGTGGTGGTGGTGGTGGTTGGTTTCTCTAAATTATTCTCTAATCACATTTGTTTAGTCCCTTCTAATCACACCATCCATCTATCTATCATCTGTCATCTCATTTGTTGAATCTCCCATTAGAATATAGGTAGTGTCTGGTTCACTACTGTATCCTACCACCTAACTCTGGGATGGCTACAGAAAAGCCTTTTAGTATATTTTTAAAAATTTAGGTAAAATAAGTTATTCTTTTGGCACTTACAAATATTAGACTAGGCTCTTTTCTCTTCTTTGCCTTCTTTTTATAGAATAAAATTCTTGAAAACCAGCAGAAAGCTAAGAGCTACTGGGATTCTCCCAACCCTCCTCCTCCTCTCACACCCGAAACCCTTCATGGAAAGCCAAGTGAGTAATGAAGACTACAAGCAGCCAAAGAAAGGGGGACGTGGGTGGTGATATGGCGGGTGCTGTGCCAAGAAGTCATCCCCAGCTAGGTAGGTTGTGACTCCAAGAAAGGATTCAAACAGAACAAATCACACTCTAGAAAAAGGATCAGCCTTAGATTAGTTATCATTAACCAATTATATAATCAATACACAAAACGAGAAAAAAATGCTGTATTATAGCTTAAATTTTATTTTTCTTCCTCCCTGTATCAGGTATTCGTGTTTATATTTAGCTATTCTAAAAGGATGTAGGTTTTGTTTAAAAAAGCACAAAAACCAAGAGGATATTTATTGTCACTGAACAGGATCTCAGATTAAAAGATCACACACACACACACACACACGTGCATACACACGCACACACACTCATCCACCTAGTGGTAGAAGAGCCCAATTGCAATTTCAGAACACACACACACACACACACACACACACACACACACACACACACACCACCCCCACCCCCCCAGTGTTGGAAGAGCCCAATTGCAATTTCAGTTCTTTTCAATGACTTAATCCCTTAATAACCAACCAACCAGTTAAACTCAATACATGATTACAGTAAAAGCACCATAAATAAGTGCACAATATACTTATGATTAGATAAAATAGACTCCTTCATGGCCCAGAGGCAAGAGTTTATTTTTTTAGTATGTTTTTATTGATTTCAGAGAGAGGGAGAGATAGAAACATCAATCTGCTGCCTCTTGCACACCCCCTACCCTACCGGGGATTAAGCCCACAACCAGGGCATGTACCCTGACTGGGAATCAAACCAGCAACCTCCTGGTGCACGGGACAACGCTCAACCGAGCCACACCGGCCAGGCCCAGAGCATTAAGAAAAATAATACATGCTTATTAACTTGTACATACTTTTGTCCAAATAAAATTTCTAATAAATACAATAAAAACAAGTTTACTTTATGCCTACTGTATTCTGGTACTTTTAATGAAAGTAGCTTTTTAGATATTTATTGTTATAATCTAAAATTAAAATATATGCTTCTTGGTTTTGGATCCCTAGTAAATAATATTTAATCTTGCTTTACTCATCTATGATTTAACATTTTTCCTAAGGGTAATAGAAACAGCAAAAACAGTAATTATTTTAGCATAAAATAGTTCCAATATACATTGGTAAGAGACTGTTTTAAAATGCAAATAAAACACAGGCCAAATGGACAGAGGCCAAGTTTAAAACTATTTCTGCAATTTACATTAAAAAGCCATTAAATGATTCATCTAAAAGCAGAGATCCAACTAATGTGAAGAAAACAGGAGAAACTGTACATTAGGGAAAAGAGTATATAACAGGATCCTCATTAGTTTCATGGTGGCAGCTTTCTGTAAAGTGGGTGCTGGTATAACCTCTGGCATTAGAAATAGGAACCACCCCTTACTAGGTGTGTCACTTTAAGCATCTGTGAAACGTTAAACCTTGCTGACTGGCTATGTTGAGCCAGAACTCACCCGAGTGGCTGCCTACTTTTCCGAACTTGAATATTAAATGAAAGCGTCTAAATAACCTTAAATGTACTTTATTTTGTCATATCTTATATTTATATTACCATACATCGAAATTAAACATATTGCATGTTTTAATATTTTAAAATATTTTTTATATTTTATTTTTTAAGATGTTTTTGAGTGTGATATGTTGTATAACATGTGCAATGGTTCTAAACAAGGTTTACATACATATCGTGTTTCACTATGCTTTCCCTTAGAACAGGCTTTACACGCCCTAGTGGGATTTTTTTTCGTACCGCTCGTTACGATTTTTTGTAAAAAATGATCTTTTCATTTTCCGGATAATCTGAATGGCAAATCTTTATTTGGCACCCATGATGAAGAGGAAAACTAGGGACAGCGGAAATAAGTGCCAAGCAGTGAAGTGCAGACACAAGTTATCTCCTGACCAGTCAGCAAGGTGTTTAACAGTGATATAGTATCAATACCTACTCCATCAGGGCTGTATTTAGGATTAAATGAGATGGTGAATGGACCATTTTTAGTGCACTGTCTGGCACATGAGAAGTGAGAGAAATCAGCATTGCTGCGCTTGCCTGTCCCAAGGAAAGCCCACAAGGAACTGACAAATATTTTAATGATAACGATGCTAAAGATGAAGAAAAGCTAAGAAGTGAATGAAATAAGGTGCTTTTTGGTTAAGTTACAATGGAAAGTCTCTCTCAAGGGCTTAAGAGGGTTTTATAGGAGGTACAGTAAGTGGAAAGAACTCTCCCTCCTAGGGGGCAGGTACTCTTGGCCTTGATCCTAGCATTGCTAGGACTAACCATGTGGCCCTGTAGAGATGCCTTCACTCTCTCCTGATGAAGTTCACAGTTGTGTTCAATGAGGAGGCGGCCTGACCTTCCAAAGGTCCAGCACTTTATACCTTCGTTGTAGGCGAGGTGGGCTCCCATTAGGAAGGGGGCTAATGGAACACTCCATACCAACTGCAAATTGGAGTTGCCTTATTTAGTTGGCTGTTTTACTTCATTCAAATAAAGAGCTCATTTACATTCAGCTTTCAATGAGAAGTGAGAGCTGCCTGTCCCAAGGAAAGCCCACAAGGAAGCAGCCACTTTCCTAGTGCCCCTTTAGGCCCTGCCTTGAGACTTAAACACAGACAAAACCATTACAGGATTTTAGTTAGTCTTTAATATAACTCCAACTCTTTAATAGTAAACAATGATGTAAGTATAAAACATCCACACACGTCATCTATCAGTAGTTCCGAACAGTCCCAGTGGTCACACTGATGGAGCAGAGGTCACTCACATTTTAAGGAAATAGGATCTACCCCGATGCAGTGGAATCCATGCTCTGGCAGTTGGAGCAAGGAGGTGAGGCTTATTTTGTGCAAAGTGTATTCAGCTTTCTTCTCCCTCCTTTACTTGGCATTTGAAAAAAAAGGTTCCTTTTCCTTTTATGCTAAAAGTGCTACAAGGACCAAAGGGGTCTTTCCTTCCTGAAATAAAATTAACTATACAAGTCACGCATTCCTGGTTCAACTTTACTGGCTAAATTCCCTCAGAATTAGCCATTCATAGAGCATTAATTGTTAAGAGAAGTTAGCACACTTGCATACCCAAAGTACAATTCAAAGTTCACAGTACAGGGCTCTGTGGTACAAAGTGCCTATGAGCAGCTTCTTGTCGTATACTGAGGCCACAGAACTTCCCTGGAGAACAGATCCGTTGTTGGCATAAACTATAGTCACTGTCGGCTTCTCTGACAGAATATTCTGGATGCGGAGAACCTATTCGGGAGAGACAGAGAATTACTACAGAACCACCACACGCCCACGTCACTCCATCACCAAAAACCCGTCTTCCACAATGAAACCATGATTAAGAGGACATGCTGTTGAAAAATAGCAGGTACTGACCTTTTTTAATGTTTAAATTAACATACTTTCTTAAACCTTCAAAGAAAGTACTTTCTTACACCATCTAGTTATTTCATGCCAATGCAGGATTTAGTGTTATTACAGTAATTGAGCATTAATAGGAATACTTCCACACTCATGTGCCTACCTTCACACTACTTTAGCTTGAACAAAAGCCATGTCATGTGGTGAGCTGACGACAAGCCAGGTATTTAAAAAATTGCCAGTATACCACATAGGGAGGCCACATGTCTTTATAAAAATGCCTTTTGACTAGCTGCCACCATAATTTCATACATCAAAAGATTACCCTACTAAAAGTATTTGAGCAATGTGAAATTCTGCCAATTATTAGCTTAAAGCAATTACAAAACCACTGCATTAGTTTACTGTATTATTGGTTTAAAAGGACTACACAAACCATCCCCACAACAGTTTATTGTATTATTAGTTCAAAAGGACTTGAATAATTAAGGTTGAAAAACTAAAACTATAAAAACCTGTGAGGAAGGAGGATTGTTTGGGTCATAAATGAAGAGCTTCTGGCCGTTAGGATGACAGCCCACCAAGATGTCCCCCGAGGAAGGATCGATAGATAAATTATCCACCAGTGTATCCAACTTGAGTACCTTCCAAATGAAAAAAATGCCAATAGTTAAATGACATGAGAAACTTGATTAAATAATTCAGAGCTAACCTTTCCTGCTTCGATGCATGTGGGGAAATTACACATACCTCCCCATTTCCACCCTTTTAACACCAGTATTGTTTCAGATAAATCTAATCAACTGATTTAGAGTCACTTTTCATTTTTCCTGAAATTAAGAAAGTTAGGGTGCTAATCAATCTCTAAAAAAATGAACTTCTTTTCCCTTAAAAGATGCACAGTGATCAGTTACCTCAAAGAACTCCTTCAAAGCAAAACAGGAAATCCTTAATCAATCTAAAATATGTGTTGCCAAGCAGAAAGAAAATAATAATGGTGTGGAACCCAATTTCTACCTTCATTTATTATTGAAAGAACTGACAGTGTGCATAAATCTTCATTTCAGAATTCATCTATTAGTCTTTTCAATTGTGAAAATTCTTACTGGAATTCATCAGGTGCCGTCAGAATGGGCTTTAAATCTGATGCAAACATCACTCCCAACCCACGGCTGTACGTAATCACAGTCAGTCTCATGACCGCTGGAACAGGAGGCTTGGCCGGTTAAAAGGTGGTGATATTTAAAAACCCAGAATAGCAACACTGGCATCCGCATTCTGTTCTAAATGAGGTATGGCTATGATATAGTATAACTATGAAATTTCAAAGTATAATAGATTAAAGCTGACTTTATATATAAGAAGAAATGTTTTACCTTCAGTTGAGTTAAATTCATATTAGGTTGTTTTTCCAAAACATGAATTTCATGAGCCAATATATCAGCGACATAGATGTACCTTTGCAGAAAGGACACACTGGTTAGAGCTCCATGGCAACACAGAGCTTCATTAACACAGGAGGCAAGAATGAATCTTAATAACCCGCCAAGAAGTTAATCAATGATGGGCCCTCAAGCAATGCTTGATAAAGGTCAATTTTTATTTAAAAAGTAAGCTTTCAAAATCAATTCAGTGTTGCTACAACAATCAGAGTTGTTCAATTATTTTTCAAAAGGTTTGTAAGGAAAACTAATATAAGACATCATTTTGAATATAAAGTCTGTGATATTTGCCACTGAAAGGACAATAAAACAGATGTTTGGCTTCGGAGGAAAAGCTTTTACATTTCAAAATATAATTTGGTATTTCTGGGTATCATTTACATATTATGGTACAGAACAGAACACATTTAACTACAATATTTATTAATACTCATTAATATTTCATAAAATAATTACTAACACTGAGAATTTTAAGAGTAAGAGCTAAGCATCTATTCAGAACAATCTATCTAAAGGGTGAATTAATGGACGATGTTACGGTAATTTCACTCATTGAACTGACTGTTCCATGGCAACTGTTCTATTGAGCAATTATCACGTGTAAAGCCATGAACTCAGTATTGTGACAGACAGAAACACGAAAAAGACAAAGCCTTTTATCTGAGAAGTTTATAGTATACTGGAATGATGAGACTGGTTTGTACACATTAAACAAATAATGCAGCACGAACATTAACATAAGAAACAGTGCAGGTCTAGAGACTGAAGAAATATCTAACTTTTGAGAAGACAGAAGGGCTTACAAAGGAAGGAGGATCTGTGGTGATATGAAACTAGAGACCGGATTTGAAGATATGAGGACAGAACACCTTCAAGGCAGAAGAAAACGTGAGCCAAGGCAAAGGGGCAAGAATGAGAGAAGCATGTTTGCAAAACAAGAGTTCTTCGTCTAACGCATGGAAAGTATCAAAACAGTAGAAATGGGAGGTCGGAGTTAGTCTATTAAAGAAATTCCAACCTTTGCCTGCCTTGATTTAATAAGCAATTGGGTTCCACTGAATTTTTAGAATAACAAAGAGGCATAATAAATGGTTGTCCCATTCAACAGTTACTGAGCATTTGCTTTGCACCTGGCAGTGCTCAGCATGAGTTCAAGATGAAGCAGACAGAGCTCCCTCTTTTGGAGGCTCTTACAGGCTAGTGGAATACAGAAAGAAAAATTGGCAACAGTGGTGGAAAGTGGAAGTGGACTGGAAACAAGTTGGAAGAAAGTCTAACACTCTAGCCAGAGAGGGTAAGAAACTAACCCAGGCAGATGTCAGTGGAAAGGAAAGGGGGTGAGAGTGGGGGACAGACGCACAGGTAGAACCAACACGACTTGCTCACTGTTTGGAAAGAAATAGCACAAAAGAAGGAATTAAAGTTAGAGCCCCTTTTATTATTATTTTTTAGCTTGAATGACTGCAAAGTTTGACTCTCAGAAAGATGAGAGTTGCAAAGAAAAATAGATTTGGCTGGAGAGGTTACATTGGATCAGTGATAGACAATTTAAATTAAATGATTACACATTCATTTTCTGTAATCAACAAGAAAGAAGAAATTGTGTCATGAAAATAAAGACATTTAGTTTCCAAGGACTGCCAAATTTATTTCATGTTATATTTGTAATAGTTTAAATTGTTCAGAGTGCTAAGGCAGTAAAAGGGAAAGCTAAAGAATTTAACATCCTTTTTATAGGCTGTGGTTGGACATATAAAAATAGTAAGGCAATTATGGAAGGCAATTTGACAATATCTATTAAAGATATTGAAGGGGCTCACTCTTTGAGCAAACAGGTCTGTTTTACGGGGTTGTTCTATTTGTACAAATGTGCAAAGAGGAGAGGCTCCTTAGCATCACATTCAGTCAGCACCCAGCAAGCATCTGAACCTGGGTCTATGACTCCCAAATCCGATGATTTAACTATTATACTATAATACCACCCACGGGAGTTTGTCCTTAAAAAATATCTGGATAAGTTTAAGTGGTAAATGAGAAATATAAAATGGTTCTCATGAAGAAAAAATAAACAAACTATATATCCATCAACAGAGAGAACTGGTTACATTAGTTTAGAATCATCCTCATAATGAAATAATATACAGCCAATATAATGAGATATTTATTTAAAAGGGAATACTCGCTGATACTTTGATATGTATATATAAATATCTCATTTTATTAAAAAATTATTTACAAAATTAGATTCTACAATGATATATAGCCAAATTTAGATATTATATGCAAACATACAATATATAAATATAGTATATATAATTGCATAATATATTACATATACATATTTAACCATATATCACATATAATATATTATGAGTATTACATAATACTTATTATGTAATATTTAATATATAATATTATATGTATGTATATAGATAATAGACCAAAAATATCAAGTAAGCTACTTCCACACGGGAAAACAAAAGTGAAGAATTTGGCTCATGACCACAACTGAGAAGAAATGAAGCCACTTTTATAAGGGATCATACTTTTTATCAGGTGAAATGGTGATTCCATTAGCTGAGTCAAATCCTTCTGCTACCACTTTAACTTCATTTGGACTATAATAAACAACATTTGTCCAGTGTAAGTTCAAGTATGTTTCCAAATACTTTAAGAAAGGATCAGAGAAATAGTGGTCATTGGTGGCATAGAAATGTGCAGGTCCAACAGCTATGATATCATTCACACTGAAAGAGAAAAATAACATGTGAGAAAAAATAAAGAGCCAGTTGGTCTCCATATTAAAGATTAGGAACCCAGAAGGTTTAAACAATATATGCTTTAAATTTTTGGTAAGAGGTTCCCCAGGAAAAGCTCAGCTAAAATCACATGGCTATCGTCATATGTGATCTATTATAAAATCATTTGCCAAAGAACAATTTTGTATGGTACCAGGTAATCTGAAGACAGGTTATTTAGCAATTAAGGCAGGATTATTATAAGAGATAAAAGGTCTTGGTGCCAACAGTATGTTTTTTGACAGAAAAAATATAGGGTTTAACAATAATATGTGGGCACACAGCTATCCTTAGCCTAGAGCTGGAGAGAGAGCCTCCTTGGCTGGTGAGCTTGTTGGAAAGCCATTAACATTTGCCTAGCTTCCATTTACTCAGTAGCTGGATTTTCCTGATTTCTCTGCATAGTTATTAGTCAAACTAAGGTTGACTGTTCAATTTCTACCTGACTCACAAAGCCAACCAGCTGAGAATGAACAGGCACTCAATAAACACTTGCAGAGAGATGGATGATGAAATTGCCATAGTACAATGCTTCAGGTGAGAGATTTATATGCTAAAAACAATTACATTTTTAAAACCAGTTAGGCAAGGGTGTTATTAAATTTAAATTCCAATTACCCAATGCAAAATTTTCTGAAAGAGCTGCTCTCTCTTTTGTTAAATACAAAACAGAGCTACGGGGTAGGTGGGCCCCCTCGTTCTGAAAGAGCTCCGTCATGCAGAGGCTGCCAGGGTGGTATTTATGCTCCTATTTATTATGAAGTGCATTTCCAGAAGAATGATTAGAAGTTACATGCTTCCCTAGATAGGGAAGTAGAAATTAAAAATATCCATCAAGTTCAAACTTTAAAGAAGCAGTAGGCTAATGCAAGCTGAGCAGAGCCTGGAGGTACACGAGTCTCTTAGTCACATTGTCAACCAGCTGTGTGTTCTTGAAGTAGCAGAGACCCACTTCCAACCTGAATCCCTCCACGTCTGTAGGGCCATTAGCTCACAGCTACCACTAATCCTGGGAAAGCACTTTATATTAGTCCCGCACAAAGCATACAAACTCCATATAAAGCAGGCTACTGTCCCTTGAGAGAACAGGTATTATTGTTAGTCGGGTGATGAGTCATCCGAGATGGAAGATGACAGCAGGAAAAACGGTAAGAATTGTCATCTACTCCTCCCATGATGGCCCTGAAGAGCATCTCCCCTGTAATCTAACATTTCATCATTTCTCAAGGGAGTCCACCAAGAACGCTGATTACTATAACGAGGGACATCAACTTTCCCCGCTCTACAAAGAAACCTCACACACACACACACACACACACACACACACACGTACGTGTGTATGTGTGTGTATTCTGGGTGCCACCATGAGGAATATCTGAAAATGCTGAGAATGAACAAACGAACTAAGTACCTTGGAAGAAGCTCATGTCTGATCGTTTTTAGATGCAAAAGAGAATTATCCTCTTCTTGAAATTTAAAAATTTCCACTGTACTCTTGAATTCTGGGTGGTTTACAACAAAGAGATAAACTGTGTCATCTGAAAAATTGAAAGAACAGAGTTAATTCATAAGACAACCATAGGACCTCCGGGCAGACACTGACATTTAAATACCACAGGCAAGGAAAGGTTAAACGTCTAAGCTGTTAGATGGCCTAACAGATCATTCTTCTTCCCTGACTTTCCCATCACTGTTTGTCTGGTGTTATTTCTGATCATTGGTCCCCTGACCTTTAAGAAAGAATGTTTCTCACTCCACATACAGAATTCATGAATATTCTGTTTATAGCTTAATTCAGAAATATAAAGCAGTGATCATAGGTATATAAAAAGGTCATGAAATCTAAACATTCTTTCAGGTGTTAACTGTTAGAAATTTCAAAGTGTAGCATAATTTACAGTTAGCTGAAGAGGCAAATAATCAACTTATTTGTATGAAAAATACAGGAATAATTCATGAGTTAATTGTTCTCTTACTACAGGTATGATCTGAATCTATTTCCCACAGTCATTTACAAACCATTATAAGTTTCTTAATATTGGTAGCTCATCAGCTCTTACCACTGTCTATGAAAGTGCTGATACCATGCGGATTAAACGAAGCCAAATTAAACCCACGGCTGATTCTTAATTCCAATGCCCTCGGGTTTTCGTCTTCTAGATCCATCATTAGTATTCCTCCAGGCTTGTCTGGCGCAAAACTGTGGAGTCCTGGACATTTTAGACCCTTTCAAAACAGAAGAAAAGGTTAAATACAAAGGCTTAAGTATTTTTATGGACTAAAGTGGGAACTATAAATAAATGATAAACAGAGGCTCTGGTTAAAGGTGGTGGCATAAAGCTACAAACACAAAGAAAGCAGAGAGGAGACAATAGAAAAAATAATAATTAGGAGCTGAAAGATGAACAATAGCTGATTTTTCTGAGTTGAGGCAAAAGACTGGGGGTTCAGTCTCTTCAGAGGGCAGCCAGAAGGTTGGTGGACTGGGAGACACCAGGTAGACTTGAAGGTGGGGACATGTGAATGTCTATATGTTAGTTGCTGACCCTAAAGCCCACAGCCTGCACTTTGCTTCTACAAAGCCAGAAGTCTTGGTGAAGGGAGTCAGTCACGAAGCCCCTCCTTGTCTCACACCCCATATCCAAGACATTAGCAAATCCTGTTGACTCTACCTTGAAAATATATCCCTTCCTAAGGAGGTGACCATCTCTCACCACTTCCTCCATCGCTGCGCTGGTCCAAACCTCCACCGCAGTTACGGCAACGGCCTCCTAATCGGCCTTCCTGCCTCTGTCCTTAACTCCCCGCAGAAATCTAGTTTCACATCAACATCCAACTTTTCTCAGATGATGTCACACAACGGATCAAAACTCCCATCTCAGATTAAAAGTGAAAATCCCGCAGTGGTCTAAGGGCCCCGTATGATCTGCCCTGGTCACCCTCCTTCACCCCACCCCACCCCAAACACTCCAGCTCTGTGCCCTCACCTCCTCCTCCCTTGTCTTCACTGGAGCTTCCTTGGCCGTTCTGGCTTCATCGACGCTCTTCAAACAACCAGCACATTCTCCCCTTCACCTCAGGGCCTTCATGCACCCTGTGCCCTTTGCCTGGGAATGCTCCCCACCCTCCCTGCCCCCCAATATCTAAGGCTCCTTCACTCAGTTTGTTTGTATCTGTGCCAAATGTCACTTATTGCCATCTGACATATACATACACACAAATACAAACGGCAGCCTGACCCCTCCCTCACCACGGCTGTCGCTCTGCCTCACCTTACTTTATATATTTTGTGAAAGTGCTGCCACTCTGACACACCGCTGATCTTTCCCCACTGAAACATGAGCCAGAACTCTGTCTCATGTGTTCACTGCTAGAACCCAGGGCCTGGGTCAGTGAATGGCACACGGTCTGTCCTTTCCCACTGATTCCAAACGCCACCTTTATCACGTCCTCGATTCCTGTTTACATACTGGTCTGTCAGGGGCTCATGCTTATTCATATGCCACTTGTTAATTACTCTATAGCTTAATTCATAAGATATGAGATATAGATAANGTTAGTTGCTGACCCTAAAGCCCACAGCCTGCACTTTGCTTCTACAAAGCCAGAAGTCTTGGTGAAGGGAGTCAGTCACGAAGCCCCTCCTTGTCTCACACCCCATATCCAAGACATTAGCAAATCCTGTTGACTCTACCTTGAAAATATATCCCTTCCTAAGGAGGTGACCATCTCTCACCACTTCCTCCATCGCTGCGCTGGTCCAAACCTCCACCGCAGTTACGGCAACGGCCTCCTAATCGGCCTTCCTGCCTCTGTCCTTAACTCCCCGCAGAAATCTAGTTTCACATCAACATCCAACTTTTCTCAGATGATGTCACACAACGGATCAAAACTCCCATCTCAGATTAAAAGTGAAAATCCCGCAGTGGTCTAAGGGCCCCGTATGATCTGCCCTGGTCACCCTCCTTCACCCCACCCCACCCCAAACACTCCAGCTCTGTGCCCTCACCTCCTCCTCCCTTGTCTTCACTGGAGCTTCCTTGGCCGTTCTGGCTTCATCGACGCTCTTCAAACAACCAGCACATTCTCCCCTTCACCTCAGGGCCTTCATGCACCCTGTGCCCTTTGCCTGGGAATGCTCCCCACCCTCCCTGCCCCCCAATATCTAAGGCTCCTTCACTCAGTTTGTTTGTATCTGTGCCAAATGTCACTTATTGCCATCTGACATATACATACACACAAATACAAACGGCAGCCTGACCCCTCCCTCACCACGGCTGTCGCTCTGCCTCACCTTACTTTATATATTTTGTGAAAGTGCTGCCACTCTGACACACCGCTGATCTCTCCCCACTGAAACATGAGCCAGAACTCTGTCTCATGTGTTCACTGCTAGAACCCAGGGCCTGGGTCAGTGAATGGCACACGGTCTGTCCTTTCCCACTGATTCCAAACGCCACCTTTATCACGTCCTCGATTCCTGTTTACATACTGGTCTGTCAGGGGCTCATGCTTATTCATATGCCACTTGTTAATTACTCTATAGCTTAATTCATAAGATATGAGATATAGATAAATATGGCAAAAAATACATAAGGCAAGTCCCCATATCACACTCATTGCTTTATCTTTACACAGTAGGCTTAAATAGTTCCGCTCATTTATTTTTCCGTAAACATTGTGGAGATTAAGTTGCTGTTCTGAATAAACCCTGATGATGATGATGATGATGATGATTACATTTCTATTTGTTTTTTCCTAGTGCATGGGAAAGCGACTGAGTTCTGTATGTTCATTTTGAATCCAACCATTTCACTGAACTCTTCTCTTATGTCTAATAGTGTGTAAGTTGAATCTCTTGGGTTGTTTAAAAAACAAGGTAATCACACTGTCTGAAAATAATGGCAGTTTTGTCTTTTTTTTTTCCACTTCATATACATTTTTTTTGTTTTCTTGGGTTACTAAGAACTCTAGTAGACTGCTGATGGTTATAGTTTTGAGGGGGACATTTTCTTTGTTTTCTGAACATTAATGGGAAGGCAGCTAATGTTTCACCACTAAGAATTATGTTTGCTGTAGTTTCTGGAACATTTTCTTCTATTTCTAGTTCTCCTAGAGCTTTTAATCAGGAATGAGTGTTGAATTTTACTTAATGTTTTTTCAGCACTCACTGAAATAATCAAGGTCTTTTCTCTTTGAAATCTTTTCAGTCATATTTTATGCAAATTTAAGAGTACCAAAAAAGGTCTTACTTTATGCACAAAATTGGAAATGAGAGAAATTCTCTCCAATTAAAAATATATATATATATATTAAAATTTTATATAACTTCAAGGCTGGCAGGGAAGGTAAGTAGAATAAACCAGAATTATGCTCACTACTGCTACATGGCAGTGCCACTTCAGTGGCTAATAATCTCTATTCTTTATCAATATCCCATAAGGAAGAGCATGGTTTCCATACACAAGAAGCTCTACCAGATGGCGAAGACTATTCATGGTTATTTTAATTCTTTCTAACATTTAAATCTGTTCTTCCTCCTTTTAAAAATTTTATTTTCACTTACAATAAAATGCATACACACTTACCATCTTCACCATTTTTAAGTGTACAGCTCAGTGGTGTTAAGTACATCCACACTGCCATTTAAATTTTTTTTACAGTCTGTTCTGTGTCGTCCAATTCCTCATTAAGTGTGATGTTAGCTTTGAGGTGACCCTCAAACCCGTAACTACAGAATAAAATGGGTTGGATGGGCTAACATGCTGGAAGAGGAGAAACAACTGACATGATGTATGAGTTACTCATTTAGAAAGGAGTGTGTTCTGGGAAATACTGGAAACAACGCTGAGTAAATTAAAGAAATAGAGTGGGTTTGTTTCTAAATTTGAAAAAAAAAGAAAGTCATATAACCAAGGAAGGATACAGAAAAAAAGAGGAAATTCTGTTGACACTGTTGTAAGATCACTGTGGCTATAATAGGCCCCTCAGCTGAAATAGCTATAGATTTATGTGTTTGGAGACTTCACTCCTCCAAATTCAGATTTATCCCTTTGGGGAGAAAATCTTGAAATAAGTGCGTTCTGGGTTACACAAATCTCTGACAACACTTCCTTCTCAAAAAATAAAAATTAAAAAAGCAACTGCCTTCTACTTTACTCTGGATTTTTGCATCTCTAATTATGAGTAATTTTGACTAGCAGTTCTAGTGTTTTTCCCTAAGCCTATAGGCATCTGTGCAAGTATGTGTTTCTAACCAGACCCAGAATCCTACTAGAAATATCATTTCACTCATTCTGGGTAGGTTATTAAAGAAAACTTTTTTTACAACTGCATTTTTTAAATGTAATATAAACATTGGTGTTTCTGCCAAAGCCCACAGCATTTCCTTTTTCCCTCAGTGCTAACAACCAGCTGCTCACTGTCTTTCATATAAAAACCAACAGGGGCCTGAAGATCACTCTAACCTCATTCTCATCTAAGCTCAGTTCTCTCACCTTTCTCCCAAGCCTGACAACTATTTTATTAGTGTTGTGACTCTCTTTTAAAGCATCTCCAACTTTTTCACATCCCTGCTGAATCTCAGAGCCTGAAAATGATGGATGCTGAGAGGAGAAAGAATTACGAGCTGCCTTCAAAGTTGGATACTGCGTCCTTAAGGAAAAACAACCCCATGAAGATGCCAAGCACCCTCACTTCAGCCACAGCCAGGGAAGAAAGGTGGTCAGAACGTCCCCATCGGCCCACTTAGACAGTTTCCCAATTGCAATGGGTATTGACACAGGCTGGCCAGCGTCACACAGGCCAATCAACCTCAAAGTCTTGCTAATGTATGCCTGCAGAGGTTACTATTTTTCAGCTTATAAGAATTAAGGTGCAGTGAAGGGTATAAATAAGCTCAGTCGATCACTTTCTACTTATGATAGGCCATTCGGTGGGAAGAGAAAGAAACACTCTGGCCTTGTCTGGGAAAGTCGGTATATTGTTTGAAAATAAATAAATAACAGCAAGAATATTAGTTCAAACTGAATATCCAATGGAAAGAAAGGTAGACGCTGTATTTAAAACAGTATAATGTAGTATTGAATATTCACAACAATGCCCCAAATATCCTATTTCATCACAAACTTTTAAAACACAGAGTGCACTGGGATATTTTAGGGCAACGCAGTAAGGACATAAAGAACAGTGAATCGATAGATAAAGACCTTTTCATCTCTGCATTCAGATGAGTTTGAGGAAATTTTCCACGATCCTGTTTGACCTGTCTTCTTTTTTTTTTCAGAGCATACTTTTAAAAGTGAGGAATTTAAAGCATAAGTTACTGCTCTGCCAGCCCCATCCAACCCCCTTGTGTCTCCTTCACTGAGACTGGGGAAGAAAGAACGTACTCACCACACTAAGGAAAGCCAGGCCGTTGGGAAGGATGTCAATATCTTCAGCTCCAGCTTCTGCAAGTTTAAGAAATAGATAAATGTCATGTTCCAATTCTGTTATTTGTTAAACTGAGCATAACTAGGACTTTGTTTACTGTATCAGTGTCTCCATCTTTAGGAATGGTTCCAATTTTTTTTTCCAAGAAACTACTCTCCTCAACAAACGTCAGTCTAAATTCCTTCCTGCAGTGAACTTCTGACTTTAAATGTTAGATATTTTATGTTTACTGAAATCAAAGTCAAGTAGGCATCACATTTCCAGCGATAATACAGAAAAAGTTGACATCTGCACACTCCTATGATAAAATCCAGATGTCTGTACAAAAGTAATTGACATCAGGGGAATATTACTTTTCAAAATGAAGGGCTCCTGGCCATTTAACCATGCAAATAGCCTTGTCCCTTTCTCTGCTCATTCAATCTGAAGCAAACACAGACATTTCTCTCATTAACAGAGATAAAACACCTGGGATTGCACAGTCCCTCTTTAAAAAACAACGCCTGCTTGTTCTGCTAGTTCTCATGAGCAAAGAAAGCTTTCTGTTTAATCTTTAAATTTAGGCTTTAAATTACAGTGGGGCGGAGGGCGGGGGGACTAGCAACAGAAAATTAATGAAAAATACCAGGCACCTAAGCCAGTTGAAGCTTCTAACGCTCGTCTCTGAGGCAGACTACAATTACTATTGATTGTTTATTGATTGTCTGCTGTACACTCCACACAGCACAGCAAATAATTAGACGTACGACCTTCCCAGTGGTCTCACTGTGTAAATTCCGCAGACAGATAATAGACCCAAACACGAGAAAAGAGGAATAAAAATGGTTTAGATTAAGCCAAATCATGACACATTCTTTGAGCCCACAAAACCCAATCTTCCCTTTCAAGACCTTTCCATAGGATTTCTCCAAGATTATTTTTACGTTGTCAAAAAACAAATAGCATCTACCTCGCCGTTTTGGTTTTGATTCATGAGTTTGCATTTGACTGGTTGTCTCCAGTGTTGCTGGCTCTAACATAGTAAAGTAAAAGAAAATAAAAATGCCAAGAACCTCACTCTGTAGAGATGAGCCATCTGCCTGCTCCTTAGAAAGGAGAGATGTATCAGTTTACGCATGATATAGTGAAGGAACTTTTAACCTGGGGTCTGTGGATCCCTAAGGAGCCAAAATGGGTTTCAAAGAGTCTATGAATCTTTTGAAATTCTATGTAATATAAAATGTCTTCTGTATGTGCAGATGAGAAATTTTCTGTGAAAAGGGTCCAGTGCTTTTAGCAGATTCAAAAAGGGTCTGTGATACCCCCCAAAAAGTTAAGAACCACTAGGCTCTAGTCCCATGGTGGTTCTCAACTGGTAAGAAGCAGGGACCAGGGAAACTCGACGCCACTTATACAGGATGTGGCAAAAAAATGTATATCCGTTCTGAATAATTATTAATTCCAATGGGTTAAATCTGAAAAGAAGGAAACACTGGAATTAATAATTATTGAAAGTGTGTATACATTTTTTGGGACAACCTATACATACACAAACATACATACACACACACACACACACACACACACACGCACACATGGAATTCTAGTCCAAGTTTTGCTTTCTGAATCTATTTAGTAGGCGCTCAATTAAAATTTGTGTAGATCCTGAAAAATTACTTAAGGCTATTTAATTTCAATGTGTACATGCTTACACACAAAAAAGATATAGAAAAAAAGGTTTCTTTGGATGGCAGGATTGTAAGTGATTTTCATTTTCTTCTTTGTACTTTTCTGTGTTTAAATTTTTCTACAAATAATAGTATTATCTAAATAATCAAGAAAGAGTGATGTTTTTAAAAGATATTTTCATTTCAACTACATTGTGACTTCTTTATGTTTAATCCCATGGCCTAAATTCCAAGGGTAGAAAAAGTCTTCTCTGCAACTTCCTTTAGAATATTTTCCAGATTTACTTCCCCATCGTCATTTCTACAGCCACTACAATAGGCTTTTATTATCTCTTATCATCTCTATCACCTCTCTGGTGCATTACTGAAAGGTAGTCAAGCTGGAGAAATTTTTTCTCCATGATGAAAGTAGTACTAGTCATAGCACTAGCTACTAACATATATTGTTTACCAAGTAACCGGCTCCTTGTAAGTACTTTATATATATTATTTCATATAATTTTCATAACCCTAAGATGCAATAAAATTATCTCTTATTTTAGAGTAGAGACTACAGAGACTTTGGAAGGTTAAGCAAATTATTCAAGATCACAGACTGGAAAGCTGGGACTCAAATCCTTTTGTTCTTACTTAAAAGCACATAGAAAAAAAAAAACAACCTAGCATTTAATGAATTTTCTGTCAGAACCATCCCCTGGTTCCTCTCTACAGACACTTCACTTTGTAAATTCAACTGCGGTCAATTCCATATGTTGGCTTTTCCCCAAAAATGCTGGCTTCCATGCCTCTCACCAAGATCTTCACCAATTCAGATCCTGTACTTTTCTTTAAAACCCCTTTCAAAGCCCCTTTTCTCTAGACGGTCTTCTAGCTCAGCACGTCTCATCTTTGTCCCCTCTCGTCCCGCCAGCAATTACCTGTCTGTGTGGGAGACGGCCACCTGCTCCCAGTAGCCACAGTCCCCCGCTTCCTGCTCAGCTACAGGCACATGGCCCCAGAGCTTCAGAAATTCCTGCCCTTTCCTGCTGGCCGATGTGGTCATTTGTCTAAGTGCAGGTTAAAGGGATGACACCGTACAAGGCGTGTGCAACTACTAGGTAAAATGAAGTGAAATTAATATCCATGTAAATTTTCTTTCTTCCCCTTCCTGCTGGGAAATAGCAACTAACCAGAGTTCTAGACTTGGACCAAAATGGAAGCAACATGAAGTTGTGTTGCTCCATCAGCCTTTGTCCCGGGATGACCGCACACAGCGGTCATCTAATCACTAAGCCACGTGCTTGCCTTTGGGCTGCCATGTGAGAGGAAATAGATTTCTCTTCTCTGAGTTACTTATTATAACTTTATAGCAGCAAATTAGCCCCTGCCATACCTGATAGAGTATCCAATAGGTAAGGTAGCCTATTTCTCCCCACTTTTTCGTTTACTAGTCAGGTATGTGTATTAATCACTTTGGGAGAGTGATATTAGAAAGAGAATTTGCAAAGTTACATAATCTTTCTGAGTCTTAAAAGAAAAAATATCTGTTATTTCACAGAAGTGGGTTTTTGTTGTTTTCCTACTCATAGGCACATGGTAAAGTACTTAATGACAAGGGCTACAAATTTTAATGGTTTAAAAAAAAAAAAAATCTCCCAAGCAGCAGTTGTTGTAAAGGTCTTGATTGCCAAGTATATACAATCGTTAATTCACTGAAGGGAGACAATACATTCAAAATTTTGTTTAAGTCTGTGACTCTAAATGCCAGCATTTTCAAAAACATTTAGAAAATGTTTTAAACTTTCAAGGCTCAAATAGAGTTAACTAGTCCTTATCATTATAATTTTTATTATTTAGATATTGATACCATGCCAAATCTTGGGTATGTAACAGCTTAGTTTCTGTCTGTAAGTTACCCTGGGAGGGAATACAAAAAATGGAATCGTGAACTCACTTTCTGTCCCACAGACAGTAAATATCCTGTATGATATGTGGTAGATGATTGCTATTTATTAAAATAGAAAGTCATGCTATGCTATGATATAAATAAAGCACCCAAGAGTTGCAAAGAGTTCATTTCCAGTCATGGCAACTGTAGCACTGCTGTGTGTGTGCGTGTGTATGTGTGTGTGTGTGTGCTGATAGGGTGAAGAGGACTGGGGTAGTGGTCTTACCTCCTGGAGGGACCCCTCGGCCTCAAGTACATGGCTACCCCAGTTTCCAAAGCGGAAACTAAGAATGAGAGCCTCTCTATCTCCGTTGCATAGCATAAGAAGTTGCCTTTGCCTAAATCGCAAAGCATGCCCAGCGCATTGTTATTGCTTGTAATCAAAGGCCCCCAAATAAGCAACTGTTGTTAAAAACATATAAGCACCAGCTGTTACTACCATTATGCATCGCTAACATCGCATTCAACAAATATTCATAGAGTGTGTGCTAACCACAGAGCAAAAGCCAAAAGAAAGAAAAAAAGGCACAATTCTAATTAGATCTAAAAATGTATCCCAAATGCGCTTCTAATCACTCATCGTCTTCGCTTCGTTGCTTTTTGAAGTGCCCCAGAGGCATTAAACACTTCACAAGAGGGGCCATAGGTGACATAGTTCCTCATTCTTTCCAATTCCAGACAGCAGCTCACACACATCACAACATAAAGGTCACAAACACAGACAGATGCTTGTTCCGAATACAAATGTTGTTGGGCTTGTTTTTCTCTGAGGAGCCGTCCATCCCAGTGAGTTGTAACGGCAACAATTTGGCAGTTTGTCCTGTACTGCGTCTGGCTGTGCCCTATTGTCTACTCTGAGACTTGAATTCACAGAAGGTGGGCTTCACGAGGCCAAGGGCTGCTTAATAATTTGACGATTATTAACTCAGCAGCAAAAGTAACCTTAGAGATCACTGACTCGACCTCCCAACCTTGTACAACATCCCTCCCAGATGCCATCTGGCTTTTGCTTAGTGACCAATTCTGAGGAGGCTGTTCGTGATGGCAGCCAGAAGGCAGGCGGCAATGCTGAGTTTCTTGGGATTCAAGACAACCTGAGTTGTAGAACTGTCTGTATAATTCAACACAGATCTGGTCCATCTGGTAGCTGATACTGAGTTTGTATCCTCCCATTAAATGTTTGGGTAACTGAAACAAAGAGAAGCCCCAGGAGGAAGAAATCAAGGAGTCTAGGTGAAGAGAGATAGGACCGGTGAGAGTAGAAAAGTAGCAACAGAAAAAAGAGACAGAGCACATAGGGAGCAGATGTGTAAAGGAGAGGCGAGTAACAGAACCAAAAGAAACTTTGAAGTGGAGAAGGCTCTCTGGAAACTGACAGGGTCCATGAAAGTAAAGCCTTCCTGTGTGTGATGAAGGAAGATCACTACACTTTTGTTTTTGCTAAGAGAGCACTGTGAACCCTGTGTGGAAAAAATGTGGTCATAAACATGAGGTAGTGAGTTTATGAGTGTTGCCAGTTCGAGCGCAATGTAGCAATGACTATCAAAACTTTAAACAGATGTGCTAACTGAATGACAATCCCACTGTTAAGTATTTATCTTACAAACAAATGCAAGAGCTATACATAAAACGATGTCCACTGATTTGTTTGTGGCTGCAAAAAAATTGCAACCATCCAAATGTGCATTAAGAGGGAAATGGTTCAATGAATCATAGTACATATAAATACCAAAGAGAATAGGTAGATCCACATGAGCTGATGTGGAAAAGCAGCTGACACTGCATTCAGAGTAAAGCAGGTTGCAGAATATAATCTTATACCAAGATGCCATTTGTGAAAAAAATAGATATGTATGTGCTTCCCTGATGTTGTTTTTTCCAAATTAAAAGCAGGACCCTCCACTAGCAAAAAGACTGACATTCACTTTATTGGGATACCTGCTTTATCGCGATGGTCTGGAACCAAACCAGCAACATCTCCGAAGTATGCCTGTATTTGTTTGCATGTGCATTGGAAATATCAGGGAGAATAAGAAAAACTTTTGCCTCTGGGGTTATTTCAGTGAGGAATAGAGATTTTTGTTGAAAGATTTTTATTTTCTATTTTATATCTTCTTTTCCTTCTGTCTTATCTCTACTAGCTGACTACTTGGCTAATGGAACACAGATCTTCATGGCTACACACGACAAAGAATACAGACTTCACAAAATTAGTTCAGAAATATCACTAAGCAAGCAAGAAAGCAAACAATAGCCCGGCCGGTGTGGGTCAGTTGGTTGAAAGTCATACCATGCACCAGGAGATCGTAGGTTTGATTCCCTGGTCAAGGCACATGCCCAGGTTGCAGGCTCAATCCCTAGTAGAGGATATGCGGGAGGCAGCCAATCGATGTTTCTCTCTCTCTCTCTCGCCCTCTCCCTTCCTCTGTTTGAAATCAATAATAAATAAATAGGGTGGCAGGTTGAGTGGAAGCTACACTGACACTCTCCCAGGACCAAACAGGAATTACAACTAAAATATAGAAAAACCATCCTGAATAATCAACTAAAAACTAGCTGGAGAGCACCCTCATGACCAAAGACCTAAAGTGGAGACCACACAGAGACTGGTGGGAAGTGTGGAGGCGTGAGAGGGCTGGCTGGGCTCCCACAGGCAGCAGCTGAAGTTTTGGAGGGATATCTCAGCCAGGTGGGGGTTCCCACCGAGAACTCTGGGGCCTAAACCCTAACCTGGGCTTCCCAGCCCAGAGCACCAGAACTGAGAAAGGTGCCCATATAACATCTGGCTGTGAAAAGCAGTGGGGTTTCTGTCTGCCAGGGAGAGACAACTGGAAATGCAGGCATCCTCTTAAAGGGCCAGCACACAAAGTTTCATGTGCAGCCATTCAACCTGGGCTCTGGCAGAGGGAGGGCAGAGTGGAGAGGGTAGAGCTGTGTGAAGAGAATCCAGGGCAGAGTGGAGAGGGTAGAGCTGTGTGAAGAGAATCCAGTGGCGCTGACTCAGCAGATAGAGCTCAGAAGAAAGCCATCTGGATTCCTGCGCTGAGTCATTCCCCCATACAGCAGAGGACATCTTTCTCAGGCAGACATTTATAGTACAAGCAGCTTTTGCCTGGGGGGGGGGGGGAAGCAATTGCCCCACCCTGTTGGAAAAACCTCTCCCCCCCAACTTGTAGAGTTTCTACAGCTTAAGGCTCATTAAAAGACTGAATAACAATCAGCCTCTGGGTGCTCAGTGTCTTTGCCCGATTTGGTTCTCGACCCAGGGCTTAGAAAAGCAGATCTTGGTACAAATGCATCTTAGTCCTTTCCAAACACACCAGCCCCAGCAGAGGGAACCACAAGCTGTGGAGTGTGGAAAGCTTCAAATAGAGTAGTCAAGGCCAGTCACAAACAGCGTCTGACATAGGCCTGCACCGGAGACCATCCAAAAGACTGAGAGTCCTAGAAGATCTACCTAATACATAGAAACAAATCCAAACTGGCAGCCAAAATGGGGAGACAAAAAAACAAGCCCCAATGAAACAACAAGAGAAGTTTCCAGAAAAAGAGCTAAATGAAATGTAGATAAGCAATCTATCAGATATAGAGTTCAGAATGCTGATCATAAGGATGCTCAACAGCATGAGAAAAGATATGGAAACTATGAAGAAAATTAAGAATGACATAGTAGAAAAAGATATATTGGAAGGAATAAATAGCAGATTAGGGAAAGCTGAAATGGGATCAGTGAATTAGAAGACAGGGTAGAAAAAAATCACTCAATCAGAGACCCAAAAAGAAAAAACAATTAAAAAACAGGAGGACAGTCTAAGGGAGCTGTGGGACAACATGAAATGTAACAATATTTGCATCATAGAAATGCCAGAAGAGGTCGAAAGTAAGCAAGGGTTAGAGAACCTGTTTGAAGAAATAATGGCAGAAAATTTCCCGAACCTGGTGAAGGAAAAAGTCACACAAGTTCAGGAGGCACAGAGAGTCCCAAGCAAGAAGTACCCAAAGAGGCCCACGTCCAGATACATCATAATTAAAATGCCAAAAATTCAAGACAAAGAGAATATTAAAGGCAGCAAGAGAAAAGCAATCTGTTACCTACAAAGGAGCTCCCATAAGGCCGTCAGCTGATTTCTCATCAGAAACTCTACAGGCCAGAAGGGAACGGCATGAAGTACTCAAAGTAATAAAAAGCAAGGATCTGAAACCAAGACTACTCTATCTAGCAAAGCTATCATTCAAAATAGATGGTGAAATAAATAGCTTCCCTGAAAAAAAGGCTACAGGAGTTTATTATTACCAAACCAGCACTGTAGGAAATGTTAAAGGGACTGCTGTAATTAGAAGTAGAAACGGAAAGAGAAATATAAGCATAAAGACTTAAAATGGCAATAAGTACCAATTAATAATAACCTTAAATACAAAAGGATTAAATGCTCCAATCAAAAGACACAGGGTAGCTGAATGGATAAGAAAACTTGACCCAGATATATGCTGTCTACAAGAGACCCACCTCAGAACAAAAGACTCACAGAGACTGAAAACAAACAAACAAACAAACAAAAAACTTCTGGAGGACTTTAAGGGAGAGATAAACAGCAATACAGTTATAGTAAGGGACTTTAACATCCCACTGACTTTGCTGGATGGATCTTCCAAACAAAAAACCAACAAGAAAACAGTGACTCTAAATCACACACCAGGTCAGATGAATTTAATTGACATTTACAGAAGATTTCATCCGAAAGCTGCAGAATATACATTCTCCTCAAGTGCACATGGGACATTCTCAAAGACAGGCCACATGTTAGAACATAAAACAAGTCTCTACAAGTTCAAGAAGACTGAAATCATATCAAGCATCTTCTCTGACATTTACACCATGGAATACTATGCAGCTGTAAAAAAAGGATCCCTTACCCTTTGAGACAGCATGGTGGGACCTGGGAAGTATTATGCTAAGCAAAATAAGCCAGACAGAGAAAGACAAGTGTCACATGATCTCACTCATATGTGGAATCTAATGAACAAAATAAACCAATTAACGAAACAGACCCAGAGACACAGAAGTATGGAACAGACTGACCAATTTCAGAGGGAAGGCAGGGGTGGGTGGGTGGAGTGAGATTAACCTAAGAATTTATATGCATATATGCATAACCCATGGTCACAGACAATAGTGTGATGAAGGCCTGGAGGCGGGGAGATCCAGGGTGGAGGAGATCAATGGGGGAAAAGGGGGACATCTGTAATACTTTCAACAATAAAGAAAAATTAAATAAATAAACAAAATAAACAAAACAAAAACAATCCTTTAAAAAAAGAAAGCACACAATAAACAAAGGATTATTCAAATAATTAACAAATTACAGTGAGAATAAAAGAGAAGAAATACAAGGTACATGAGATCAAAAGAGGTTGGCTAAAGAAGTTTTGTAATTTCATGCCAAAATATTGTTAACGAGTTTTTGAATGTTGGTGGCCAAACAATGGAAGGTGTGTAACAAGCACTTTCTCATGCTTACCGATGCCTTTAATCAGGTGGCAGTTTGGGAGGTCTACAGATTCTACTTCACTGGAGGCTTTAAGACGATTCCTGTTTAAAAAAAAAAAAATTCATCTGTTAATGTATTCCCTGCTTTGTTGCAGAAAGGGTTTAAGAGGCTTTCAGCCATACAGAAAACACAGGAAAAATCTAAAGCAGAGAAAAGAGAAGATAGAAAGACAAAGGGAGGGGGCATAAAACAGCACCAGAGATGCAGTTAAAATAACAATGCATATCACAAAGTTCTAAGGTGACTGTGGGTTGTAAAAGAAAGTCAATAACTCAACCAACATTTCTAACTCAAGTCCCATGCAAATATGCACCTGCCCCCTCTCCCCCGGTCACAAATCTCACAGCTCTGGTGTTGTGGGAAGAGCTCCAGGTGTATAACCAGAAGCCCTGTTTTCCCTCTGAGGACCCAGGGGAGCCAAGAAATGCTCACACTCTCTGCAAAACAACATAGTGACTGAAGAGAGGCCAAGAGACAATGGCATGGTTCAGAGCCTGGCACACAGAGGACACACCACAAATAGTTTTTAAGGAATAAGTGGAGAAGGTCCCATCCCTAGGACAATGTATATTGGGATGAGAAGATTGGAGAACACCATTTACTTTGGCAGAACTACTTGCTGTCATTGTTACAGGAAAACTAAGTGCAGAAATAATGAGACAGTGTTGAGCTCTAATGAAGTATCTTCCCTCTTCCTTCCCACCCTAGAGTAGGTCACAAAGCAGTTTGGGCAAACACATCTGGGATCTATTGCTTTTGTTTTTAATATATTTTTATTGATTTTAAAGAGAGGAAGGGAGAGGGAAAGAGAGAGATAGAAACATCAATGATGAGAGAGTCACTGATTGGTTGCCTCCTGCATGCCCCCCACTGGGGATGGAGCCTGCAACCTGGGCATGTGCTCTGACTGGGATTCGAACCTCGATCTTCTGGACCATGGGTTGATGCTCAACTGCTGAGCCAAGCTAGCCAGGCATGGGATGTACTGTTTTGAAGGCCACATACCACAGGCTTCCCCATTCTTCTCACATTGTCTCACCTTCCTTATCTATTTTATATAGTCATAAATATTAACAATAGTGAATAGTTTACATTTTTCGAAGTGCTTCATGCATCGACACATTTAAGAGACCAAAGGACAATTTGCCACTTGTCTCTCTCCTCTTCATCTCCTTGACAGCTTTTGACTTCTAGACACTGAGTATGGGGCAGGCTACTGGTTTCTCAACAAAACCAAAGAAAAAAAAACCAGACCTAGATAACCCAGAATCACTAACCCAGAATCACTAACAGCTGGTGGCAAATGCTATATATTTTGGCATATATAAAGTCCCTAACTAAAGTGTTAATCAGTATGTATTTGAAATCATAGAACTCAAATAGTGTTAAATTTCTTGAAACAATATAGCAATAAAAAATAAATGAATAAAATAGGTATATAAATATATATAATAAAAAGTGAAAAATAACTAAAATTTTAAAATAAAGCAATAAAAATACAATTCTTACATTTATGAGTTGCAGGAGTGACTTAAAACGGAACACAAGTATATTTAGCTTAATGTAGTAGTAGTGGTGATAATATTAGTGATGAGGATGGTGTTGTTGATAATTATAGGTGGTAAAAGAAAATGAATAATAAAAATAGCTAAAATACACTGATTCTGCCACAATTCTATGCGATTTCCCTGAATGAATTCAGTTAATACAGCCCTAAGAAGTAGATGCCACTATTCCTATTTTAGAGATGAAAAAACTGACTCAGAGGTGAAGCAACTCTCCTGAGGTTCTATACCCAGCTAAGAGGTACCACACAGAGGGAGGGCTCTTGTCTGCTCTTGTATTTTTCTCAGAAAAGAGTGCAGAGAGTTGTGTTTCTGTCTTAGCAGTAAGACTGCATGACCATTCACAAATCAGTCAATCTCTATAGGCCTCAGTCTTCTTTATGTATGAAATAAAGATGAGACTAGATGGCCACCAAGGTTCTGCTGACATTGTATGATTCCAGGTGTAGCTATGTCAGTATGTCACGCCTACAGTTTTCATCAAGTTTCTGTATTGCTTGTTTAGGTTTCAGTTTTATACAACTTACTATTATGCCCATTTGACTGTGCAAATTAGGGATAAAGATGAATACCATCTACCTTTTTCAAAGATAAAATATATGGATTAAATAAAATCCAGATGTGTTTGAACAGTTTAACAGGGGGTATTTCTCAGAGTCAACTTAGTTTGGATAAATGACTGATGATTATACTTTGCTAAGAGGGCAATCTTCATCAACTAGTTTCGTTGTGTAATACCATCTCTCGAAATGCAGACTGCCTGCTATTAAAACGGAAGAGTTACACAAGGCTCATGCGTAACTCCTAGTTAATCAAGTCATGTCTTGTCTTTATGATAAAAGAAATGAGGATTTCACTTCCATCCTTAGGGATCCACCAAGTTTCTAATTCTTTCAGTAGAGAACTGGACCTCTGTACTCCAGGGTGGCACACCCTACTGGCTGACAAACCTCAAGTCATTCTCACCCCTTCTTTCTTGAACCTTTCCATTGCAGAGGTGGGCAAGCTAAATATTTGCTTTCCCAGCTTCCTTTGTATTTTGACCCACCCAGAGTGGAATGAGATTGGGGTGTTTCTACCCTCTTGCCTCACTGGGCCCCATCCAGAGTGGAATGAGACAGGGGCAGTTAGTTACTCCCTTGCCTCATTGGGTGGTAGCAGTAAGGGTGTACCAGGCTGTGGTATCTACATACCTTGAGCAAACTGGAACACAGTGTTACCACAGACATTACTTTGTTCCATATCTCACAGCCTCTGAATTTACAAGCCACTGATGGGGCTTTATCTTTTAAGTACAGACTTAAATATGAACAAACAGGGGCTTTATCTTTTATATACAGACTTGTAAAACCCTTTGGAATTTACCTCTTGAGCTCCTGTAATGCTTGCACTTAGCTAAGAATTTGTGCTTGGGCACATAGAGCTCGGAAAAATCTATCCCAATGGTAGAAAGCTCGGCAGCTATGGGGGAGCTGGGTAACTGGTATTTGGAATCAGAAGACCTGGCTTAGTGTACAGTTCAGCACCAATTACCTGTTGAACTAACTGGTTAACCTCTCCCAGCCATGTATAATATAGGAAGGAAGGCACATATGAAGACCGAATGAAGTCAGAAATGTTAAAGGGCTTACCTTCCAAATGTCGGTAAGTGTACATTTTGGTTTAATATAAAGAACTTTGACACTTCTGACAGAAGGACCGGCACACAACAGTCATACAATAAATAATAAGGAGGATGATAGTTTAAGAAAAATGTCTGACACTTCAGAAGTATTCAAAAGCAGAATGGATAGCTTCTTGGGGGAGCTGTCAAAAAAGGTGTCAGGCAAGAAACAGAATGTTCAGAGGCTTGTTTGGGGGGTTCCTGCCCACACATAGATCTGTGATGTACTCAAGGTCTCATGATTCACTCCAAGGTATGTACTTTGCCACAGGGAGCAACTGGCCTGGGGATATCTTTCTTTTTTCCCTTTTTACTGTTCAACCAGGGAGGAGTGGAAAATTTGGGTATATTATACCATCCTCCCCTGGGAACCTTAGCCAGTTACAGTTCAGAAGGAAAGAGACAACTTTAATTCCATTTATTCATCTGGGACTTACTTATGCTAAAAAAATTATTCATTGTTTATCTGAAATTCAAGTTGAAATTTAAGTGGGGACCCTGGGGGAGAAATATAACTTGAGTGTCAAAGTACCATCTCTAAGAACAGAATAACGAAATAGTAGGTACCAGATTACAACAAAAAACAAACCAAAAAGACCCCCTGCTTTTTGAAGAGCCATTCCTTTAGATGGGACCATGCTGCTTTTCAAAATAGAGCCTAAGGGTCTGAAAGGAGAAATGTTATGTATCCTTTTGGGCACTCCACCAAACTCTGTAAATAATAGATCCTTGATATTCTACAATCATACAGTCCCAGATCAAATACAAGATGGTCAGTTAAATTTGAATTTCAGATAAATAATGAATGATATTTTAGTATAATTATGTACCAAGTATTGCATGGGATATGCTTACACTAAAAAAAATGATTTCTTGTTTATCTGAATTTCAAATTTAATTGGGCATCCTGCACTTTTACTTGCAAAATCTAGCCACTCATCAGTCATCCCAAGGTTTTCATATTAGCAGATTTGGGGTTTCAACTATCCAGTGAAGTTACTCTAAAAAGCCACTGCTCAGTATAGTGTATTATAGCCAAGTCTTTATTAAAAAAAAAAAATGCATTAAATTGGAAATTACCTATCAGGTGTCTATGTACCTATGTGCATAAGCTTTATTTACTTTTTCTTAGGTTTGCAACAATGGCATTTATCATTTAAAGGAACTTCCATTTAAAGCCTTGAGATTAAGACACAAAAATTGTGAACTGAGAAAACTTCAACTTGTAGTAACACTGGTGGTTTGGCGTTTAGGGACAAGTTAATGAGCTTGTGAATTCTGGTGGCCTTGCCTTGGAAACTGAGAGCTGGTCAGATGAGAAAAAAATCGCCCAACACAATAATATTCTGCAGGGCAGGCTGGGAATTTACATAACAGAAAATTAAGGTCACCATGTTCATCTCCTGCCAGCAGGGGAGCCTCCTCCAACTCTAACTGCCATCCTCCACCCCCAACACATACACACGCACTCACACACTGTTCCTCCTCCTTGCATTCCTTTATCGACAGATGAAGCTACAACTACAGGACAGTCGCGCTCAAAACTGGTTATCTATCACCTGAGACTCCTCCCATTTCTGGGGTTCCAGAGTTTGGGACCATTACTCTCTCCAAACCACTGCAATACCTTAACTTGTTTCTCCATGTCTATTCATTCTCTATTCTAGTACTTCCCAACTCTAACTGCACATTCGAATCATCAGAATTTTTAAGCATAAAAAATACACATGCCTGGGCCCCACCCAAATGAACTGAATCAGAATCTGTAGGGCTACGGCCCAGACAGCAGTCCTCCAGGAGATCCAAATGTACAGCCAGGATTGAGAACTACTG